AGGTGCTCGGCAGCCAGTTGGGCAAAAATTAAATCGGAGAGGTTGAAATATCTCCTCTAATTTCACCTAAAATCATTGCTTCAAAGTTTGATAGCATGATATTAAGTGACATATTCTATTTAAAGTATTGTAAGTTGCATCGAAATGCGATAATACTCAAAGACCTTATTGGTCAGTTAAACAAATTAACCAAAAAAGGTTTAACTCTAAATATCAACAGTCAAAAATGATACAATTTATTTTGTTTTACGTTCAATAACTGGTGATAAATTAGAGTGTTTTGGTATGTTTAAATATTTAAAATTATTTTTATCTACTCATTATTGTCGCATCGGCAATGCTAATCCTGATCAGATTTCGGTACAGTGCACTGGAGATAAAATATTACTATGCAAAAAGTCAGAATACGATTTTAAACGTCAAAAATTTTATTTAGCTATTTGCGCTTATTTAATGTACTAATAAATAATATAAAAAATATTTATTCTTATAATAAATAGGGTACTGTTTCCTTAGAATTGCCATTAGATTATAACACAGCAAATGGTAAAGTAAAAATATCCTTAAACAAGTCACTGTTTCTAGTAAGATATTTTTCGATAATTATGGGTGATGACATTCCAGAATTTGATAACGATTAGAAGTTACAAGCAAAACTTCGGAAATTATAAGCATTGTAAGCGCTCCAAATTAAGCATGTGCACATTTGTTGCGTTAAGACAAAGTGGTGGAAAAACATTACGAGCTTTAAGTTTGAAGTCTTAGGTCCGAGTACTGCAAGATTACATAATATATTCTATTATGAGAGAATTATTTTAAAAAATGGTCCTGTATGTAATGTTTCTGCTATTCGCTTTGAAGCAAATCATACAAAATTTTAAAAAAATTGATCGAGTTACATCATACAAAATCAATGCCTTAAAATTAATTCTCAATGTATATCAGTTAGCTTTTATAAAACGTAAATTTACAAAGTATGAGGCTTTGTATGCTAAATATGATCAAGTACAATATTTTAATACTGTCACCCAAAGAACTTTATCCAGCATAACAATAAATAATATTAATTGTAAGAAAGAAGCCGTAATACTAATAAATGTAAAAAAGTAAGGCCCTTCATTCGGAAAAACTACTAAAATACAAATTGGAAACGAAGAAATAATTTTCAATACAAACATTTTTAAAGCATTTGATTAAGCAATAATTATTATGCTCATAGTGTCACATAAAATGAAAAAACTAATACAATTTATTATAAATATTTGGCTTCGAAAATACCACGCTTATTATTTCACAGGAAGAGAGTATGTTATATTGTCAGTAATTGTGTGATTTAATGTAAGCAACAATACATTTTTTAAGTGCCTCACTCATTATTTGTTTCATTGCATAAAATTTACAATTAAAGTGTTCTTATCTTTCTAGAAAGCGTTTTTATTTTCTTATTTCCAAAAATATCTTAGTCGTAAGCCACTAGTAGGTGATAAAAACCGATAGTGAGAAGTAATAATATCCAGATTTAAGGCTAAGAATAGAACTTGACATTTGTCAGTACTCGTTTTTCGTTTTCGTCCTAAATGACATTTCTCATGAAATAAACAGAAAAAAAGAAGCTGATAACAGCTGTAACGAATTACTACTCATTAAAACTTACAGCATATGAAATTCATTATTTGTTATCAACTAATAATAAATTTATGAGTAGCTGAAAAAAAGTTAAAAAATTGTTACTAACAGTTTTAAAAAACTGTTTATTATTATCGTAAGATAAGATAAATTTGTTTTTTTTGATTATTTGCAACAAAAAAGACAAAAGTATATTATAACTTTACAATAAATAAATATTATTTTAGTCTTACAATGGCACTTTACTATTTTTTATTTGCTGGTTTTATTAAAAAAAAAGGTTAATAAGAAAGCTATTTAAGCTTTGACAGAACCTTGCGATTTCGAGAATTACTGTGTTTTGACATCCTATCATCTTAGGACATAGACCCACACAATGGGCTTCTATGAATATGGATCATTCTATCGATAACGGCATACTCCATGCCCCAGTCGATTACGACGTCATTTAAAGAGATATAGATCCGGAAAATTTTTCAATTACTCAAAGAATGCTTACCACTAAAGGTATAACAGAATTTACACTATAAAAAAATTTCCTCTACTTTTAGATTCCAAAAAGGAGCTAAATTAGCGTTAAAGGTTCGTGTCTCACTCGTAAATTTACAGTGAATCGTATTAAAAAAAGGTTAAGGATGTTGCAGGAATTTTTATGATTTTTCCTCCATTCCACTAAAACAATGCTATAGATTCGTGAATTTAAAGATTCTGTATCTTCAAAATAAAAACTGAAAGTCCCTAACGCTAAGGATTGTTATTTAACTTTTTAAAGCATTAGGTTATCGACTCAGAAGGAGGTAAGAAATATATACATATATATGTATACAATTGTCAAGTTTAGCTTTACTTTCGTTCGTTGTAATCTCGATTTCTTGACGTATTTATCAGAGCACGTAATACTTTTTTTTATACAATCCATAACGTTACAAAATGTCACATATCGTTTCAAAGAGTCAAGTTAACTTGGAAGGTGGTGGGTTGAAATATAATTTTTTTGTACATGAAATGAGTGTTAAGACAAAGTTTAATTTTTATTTTGTGCGTTACAATCTTAATTTTTTATTTATTTATAAAAGACCATAACGGTCAATTATTTGTTAAGAATCCGTTATGCTATGCTGTAACGATTTAAAACGCATATAGTATATTACGTACGAGTTTGAAAAGGCTTCAATTTACGAACCGAGAGGGTTACGGCGCGAGCTGAAGGCGAGAGCCATAACGAGATTTATGAAAAAGCCTTGCCAAACAAGTTTCATACACTATTTTTCTACCTCAGAACCCAAAATAAAGTAGCGAAGGTGCTATTTTGAGATTAAAAGTCAGAAAATATTTGTCTCATGTTTGATTATTGATTTGGATAGTGACTGAGCCGTACGTTTATAATAAGTAAACGATTTAAATGGGAGAAGGTTCTTTTATTATCATTGACAGCGCCTTTACCTTAATTATAATAAGATTTGACGAGAGTCCGTAACATTCCTATTTTTCTCGTGTAGATTTAGCAGGACCCAAAAATTTATAGCTTATTATGGTAACGGACAATACAAGAAAAATATTTTTACAATTATTAATCCATTTTTATAATTTGTCTATTTTGGCCCTAAAAATATGCCGGTTTTTGCAAAATACATATGTACAATTTTACGTGGTAGGGGATTTTCGTTAACACAGTAGAGAGAAAATGTTTCACCTTGCATTAAAATGATCTTACCTGATGGATAAAGGAGACCTTACATGACTTACATATTTAAGCGTACATCTTATACAGACTCGGTACTGGAAAAAACCATACCAAGCTATGAAAAACCCATTACTGCACGTGGTAGGAAATTTTCAATGAAAAAGGTCTTTTCGCGTAAAGTGATTTCAATACTCTTATGATGATATTGTATAAACATGCATAGTTACATATTTATGCACAGACATTTGGCACACAGCTTGTCATAATGGTTGTAATGTAAAAAAAACATTTTCTTAGAAAATTTAAAAAATAAGAAATAGTAAGTGTCCCAGTAATTAACAATGTTTTTAATGTATTTTTGTAATGGTTTTTATGTTTAATTGCATAAGTTAATGAGTACAGAAATCCTATTTATTTCTACTAATACTTATATGTAATTATTAAAATTTTAGTCAAGACTCTGTCAGGCATGGGAGCATGGGACCTTTTAAAATCAATACCTAATCTGTAGGTACAACTTACCGTATTCTACTAACTGTGTTCTTTTATGAGGGTCTTGCCAAGAAAAAATGATTTGAACACATACATTTGTCATATTTTCCATTTAGTGAGACTTTTGTTCTTAATGCTACAAATTTTACAGGGTTGTGGAATTATAACGTAAGATCTTTGACAGTTTGAAGAATGATCCGTTAAAATATCAAACGAAAATCGATACCTACCTAATAAATGTGTCCTTTGAAAAGCTAACATAATAACTAAATTATATACACAGATATTTTGTCTATGAGTTTAAAACATTGACAAATAAATGTACCTTGATTAACACAAATAGTGGTGAAAACCAAGTACTCATATTCACAACACTTAGCCTAACAGCTGCGTGTATACCTATTTCTTACGCATAGAAATACGTAAAAAAAGTCTAGTGAGATTTGTTGCTAATCGTTAATGTTATGCTAAAATTTTACTGCAAAGTACTTGATAAAAGTTTTTAAAATTATTTGTTAAAGATTCTATTAAGGTGCTACACAAAATCTTTTTGCTATGTAAAATAAAAACAGAGAATTGGTTATTGCAAATTTTAATGGCTCTTGCTATTATCATATGGAAACCGTTACTTTACGTTCCTTATTTTAAGAGTTAATTTTCTTTTACCGCATTTGAGTTGTCATTTGATAATTCAAATCTATTTCTACTTGTATGGTTTAATCACTTTTGGCTATCTTCAAGTAAAACTAATATTAATAGAATGAGAGCTAAGTCAGCAAAAATATAACATATGCAAAGGAAGCCGCTAAATGAAACTTGACATCGTTACAGCTACTGGCCACTAACACGACTGTAAAAGTTGATATTCAGCGCATCAAGCCTTGCGTTCCTTTAATTGAACGCTTATTGGATTCATAGAAGATCAAAACATGCTCTATGGCACTCGCAGCATAGTAGTGTATTTTTTTTAAGTGTACTTAAGCAAAGACTTAGGGTACATCACATAAGAACTTGATAGTGCATAAATATTGTGCGTAAGAAAATTCAAATAAATATTTTGTAGTTATTATTCAATAGCTTGTGTATGATATTTTATATACAAAAATTTCTTCACGGAAAATAATGTACAAATCTTGTGTGCACTCAACATAGTCTGCTTAAAAAAATTATGTATGTATATAAAAAAAAGTTTTGCTGATTATGTTTTAATAATTTTTAAGGCCATATCTTTATTCAAAAGAACAGTGCCAAATTTGACAGTTATAGATTGTAAATAAAAAGTTAAAGAAATACAGAACAAATCTTTTTTAATATGTATAAATTAAATGTTTACAGCAGATCCCAAACTAGAATGTACAAGTGGTTTGAAAGGTGTCGTATTACGTATTTCTTTCTCTAAGTTACACGCATAGATGTCTGTAGTAAGTTCGTTAAGAGGTATTTCTTTGTCAGATCTTGCAATTTTTACTGCCTCATCTACTTCCTTACGAATTTCACTTTCCATTTTCTGAAATAAAATTAAAAGGTACAGAATATTTGAACCTACAGTTAAAAACTTTGCTTACATGTAAATAATTAAAATTGTTTTTTGGTATCAATTAAATAACAAATTGCTAAAGTCCACAAAAAAATGTTAATAATACAATTTTTCATCATACTCCAAAACTTAATATTAGTATCATAAGAAACGCTTTCAAACAATAAAAAAACAAGGGTCTCTGGAAAAAACTTAAGATATGTCTTTTGAAAACTACACAGAACATTATATAAAGCTAAAAGGAATGATTTATACACATCTTGAAATCTTTTATTATTTTTTTCTCTCTTGACTTTGTTTACTCTTTTTAAGTTCACATGACGCCAATTATAAAAAATACTTTTTGACATGCCGTGCACGGGACCCTCGATTATGAGCCATCTGTTGTGGCTCTAAAGACCTCAATTTACACATGTGACTCATAACTCGTGCTGAGCACTCGTGCGAGTGCGTGTGTACATCGAAATCTTTAGTGCCATATTAGATGACTCATAATCTTGTTCCCCGCTCACGATTTTTCGAAAAGTTGTATACACCACACGTGTGAGAGGTTAGGTCATTGATACACGCGTCAACCGCCTTCCTCGCGCACTAGTATCGTAGTGTACTAACACATTATTATAAATGTCTCTTGTCGCCTTACGCAAAATATCTGATACTTATAATTCATAAAATAATTTTTGTTTACCAATAATAAAACTTATGATAGTATACTTTGTAAAGTGAGCTATTAAATTTTCAAGTGGCATCTTGCACTATTTTTAGGATCTGAAAAAACTTACTATTAAATTACAGTCATTATGTTGTAACAATTGATCATCAGAATACTCTATCTTACAAACTACGATTCAGAGCTACGCTGTGTCAAGATTTTGTGTGTAGGAAAGGAAAATTAATTGACGCACACCACAGGGACTACAGTAGTGTAAAATTCAGTGCATATTTTCTATTAGACCACCTATACCCACAAAAACCTCCCCCACCCTTGCCACATGGCTATTGATTCACCCTGAAACCACATTAGGACTACTTTCGGGTAAAGCTACCAAGAATAACATTGTATCTCATAGTATTCAAGAGCAAGCTTCAGCTATCTTCAAAACCTTATTACCTATGAATCCCTACTTGACAACCACAGCGTCCCGCGTGGCGGCTTTTTCTTATTTTTTCTTACGACAGACCACTGACCCAACGTAGCCGCTCATAGCCCTCCATCCTTCATCAATGTGAAGCATGTTAGAGACTATCGTGACCACCCACCAGATTTTGTGCTTGCCCTTCTCTCGCAATCTCGCTGTGACTTGCAATGATATATTATTGGAAAAGCTCGTCAGCTTATTTGTTGTTTTAGTACTTTGTTTCACTTTAGTTGTCTCGTTTCTTTTTTTTTTTTTTTACTTTTTTTTACTTATTACTTTGTGGTAAACACTTAATTGCCTTTTTTTCAGTAATATCTTGTGAGGCCCTAGTCCATCATCGTAATAATATTATTTAAAAAAATTTTTAACATCAATTTCTAATTACAATAAGTAAGAATTACTATACAGTATTTTTTTTTAATCTCTAGAAATTTAGAATAATAACAAAATTTTTTTTTAAAAATATTTTCCTTGCGTTCTCTGAAAGAAATATTAGGCAAAGCTCGGGAATATTTGCATAACTCTATGGGCGAAAGAGGGTAGCATAGCTGTCAAAACCCCTCTTCAACCCTGCAAATAGACAATACTTGGACATGGCATCAGCGATAACAAAACAACTTTATAATAAATTTAGAGCAGACAAAACAAACGTCACAAAACCGCTAAAACCTAATGAAAAACCGTTCTGATTTTTCCTTCTTTAAATTTTTAGTTCAGAAAAAATTGGTTAAAATTTTTAAAAAAATTATTCATGAACATCCATTTAAAATATAATATTTCTTGTCTAACACATCAAAGTTTTGAGAATTTTTCAAATATTTTTTATATGATACAACTGGTATAAGAACCATTTTTTCAACTATAAAGTGATAGAACGCTTTAACTAGTTTTTATTCGAAAAAAATTGTTTTTTATTGCTATATTTACATGTAAAAGAAACGCGTTAGAGTCAAAAATTGAAAAAAAGCTTTTTTGTTAAAATTGGATGGATTTACAAAAATATATTAAGAAAAGCTCCGATTACCTTACCACTCTGATTGACTCACCTTAGTCTAGAGACAGGCCATCAAAGCAAGGAAGCAGCAACAGTAGCTACGCGTAAGACACCCCTCCGCCTAGGCTGCAAAGTACCTGCATCGCTTTCTCAGACCGTTGAGAGACTCACTGAGTATAACGAGATAGAGAAAAAGAGAGAGAAAAGCAAAAGCCACTCTTTTGAGGGCACTCTTTTGAGGGCAAGAGAGTACTGCAAAATCAGAACACGAGAATTCCAGCGCCGAGGAAAAAGGAAAGAGTCCTGGTTGCCTCAGTAGCCTGTCCAGTCACAGTACGCCTTCCATCTGTAAGATCGTGCATTAACTTGTCAAGATAACAGTGTGATGTGAGAAAGTATATTGTATATGCGAATGAGTAAGAAATAGCAAGGGTTAGGTTGAGTGCAGGGACGCGAGATAAAAGAGGCAAGAGAACATGGGTGAGAGAAAGAAAAAGAGAAAGAAGGAGAAAGAGAGAGAGAGAGAGAGAAAGAGAGAAAGAGAAAGCGAGAGAAAGTGAAAGAGAGAGAGAGAAAGAGAGGGAGAGAGAGAGAGTTAAGGAATTCAATCACGGTATCTGGGAGAAGCTCGTAAGTGAGGATAGGTTGAGAATTTTCCAAGGGTATCGTTATTTAAACGCCAAGCGGCCATCAAGTCAGATCGCAACCACATCAACGGAGAAGATACAGCTAATGTTGTATACTGTATTACGGGCTACGGGTTAATAAATGTTAGTTCAGCGTTAAAAGTTTCGAGCAATTAGATGATACCTCCAGGTCTCAAACAACAGTACGTGGTTGCGTTTTAATTTAACATAGAGTGACTTTTCGTATTAAATTCTCCTATTGTCACAATATATATGGGACTTTCTACATTAACTGGAATGTGAAAAAAAAAACAGATTTCCTGAAACTTTGCATACAAGTAGCTGGGGGTCAGAAAAAGTTAATCCCCAAGTTTAACAGACTAAGTCACTTTACACTCTTGTCATGCATGGTTGCAAAATTCGATTTTTCTAAAAAAAAATGCCGAACTTGTGGATTTTATAGGCTAACATATATAAAAAAAATAAATATAGTTTCTTTTCAGTTTTTGCTCCATAAATTACAATTAAATTTAAAAACATTTTTTTAGAGTTGTTTTTACCTTTCTTTATGCGTTGAAATTTAAAAAAATGCAACTTTGCAAAGTATAACATTTTTTTCCGAAGTCTTCTTTTAGCATATGTCTTATATGTCTTACACTTTCAAAACTTACAGTCTTATGTATAGTTTGTGTTGACAATATATAGCCTGTAGATGAACTGTAATCTAAGCAACTGCTAGTTGCAGCCCCTTCTCTCTTGTGCATCCTCTAATAAGGTGCCACTGACTAGAACCAGTAGTAGTCAGTGACAGCTCCTACTGTTTCCTATAAAATGTTTCTCAGTCGTATATAGTTACCTACTTTTTCCACACCGCCCATGAGGCAAATATATCAATTCCATAGTTATCACGAACGAGTACTCAAAATACTGAATATGGTTATTACATGATATAAATTCAAATATTTACAAAATTCAAGATGTGTTGACTTTTTCTGGTTTTTATTTATTCTTTTATACATTGAGTTTTCAATAATTACGTGCAATCAGTATTATTTGATATGATCACACATATTATTAAAACTCAAGGAGTAAAAAAAAACAATAGAAACGGTGGTAGTCACTGCCAGTAGACTTACACAATTTCAAGGGAAAACAAAGTGTCAATTAATTAATTTAGTAATTCCACTCATTTTATTAAAATAAATGACTACACTTTATTTCAATCAATATAAATGTGCTTATAAATTATTTGTTTTATAATATAGGTTTTATAAGATTAGCCTTTTTTTACAAAAACAACATAAATAGTTGTGCTAAATCAAAATAATAACTTTCATGATTTTTTTACAAAACAATAACGTAATAAAATATTAACAGAAATATTAACACATCATGTGCCAATATTAAATAATGTTATTAAAATTTAATTGATAACTTTTAATTGGCTAAATCTTTTTTTCATTCAGGAAGTGAATTTTGTATTGTAATGTTGGAAACGTATATTTAAATCTTAGAATCCTGTTTTTCTTTTCGTTGTTAATTATTCAACGCAACGATTAAAATATATTTCATGATCGTTAAAATTCAGATTTTAAGAACTGGATGCCTCTAAGTACGGAGCTCTGTAATCTATGTACAAATACAAATAGATAAGTCATTGTGAAGACAGAGGTGCACTCCTATTATCTGTCCTCGACAACGTAACTAAAAAACTGATAGTGGCCGAGCACTGAATGATTAATAAGAAACATTCTACACGAGTTCAACAACATTGAGGTCCCATGTAATTAAACAAAGCACTACGCTCATACCTTTTGCACTATGAGTTGTAAAAGTAATCATCCCTCTAAAATGGCGATGCCAACAAATAGGATCAACTTAATATATGCACATGTCACAAACAACAAAACAAGCATAAACACGATTTCTATATACTTATCCAATTTGTGCCAAGGAAGTTAAAACAGTCCGATTTTTATCATTCTTATATTTAGCAGTTTTATTTGCCCTTGTTGTTTGTACGAACTGTTTCGCCTTTAGATTTACAAACTCCGGTATGAAAACGTCAAAAATTGTACTTATTTAAGCTTTGTAAGAGGAAGCTTAGCGTTATCAGATAAGAGATGAAAGATGCCCCACTTCCTAACGACGGAAGCAAATCAAGGGAGACTTAAAAAAGCCTTAATTGGAGAACTAACCATCAATGTTCCC